TTTTTTTTTTGGGCTCTTTTTAATGATTCTTGCGTGGGTTTTATGTTGTTTTTCGAATCAAGATTCGAACTTTTTGTTTGTATGATTGAAGAAAAAAATCATCAAGGTGTCACCTTTTATGGGGTTTTCGGATCAACCCCTGTTTTTCTTTTAGTTTTTTTGAAGTATAAGTTCACATATTTGCTCATGTTGTAGTTGAGTTCTGAGAAATGGCTGATTTTGTACAGTTTCTATGTTTCACTCTTGACTCTCCTCAATAGATTTGCATAATGGGTTGCTGGTAAAATTGTTTTTCTTTTCTTCTTTTCACGACGATTCTCGTGCTTTTGTCGAATCAAGATTCCATCTTTTTGTTCCTATCATTGAAGAAAATCATTAGATGTCACCTTTCTGTAGTTTTTAGACCAACCCCAGATTTTTTGTTTTGCAAAAAGTTCATAAATTTGCACATATTGTAGCTGGATTCTAACTTCCTTACGATATTTGGGTTCTCCAAAATTGTTGTTTCTTACCCTTTCTATGTTTCAAACTCGTAGCTAGGCGTAGCCAGCGGGCTCGAAACACTATGCGGCCAAGCCTACGGAGCCCGACAGTACCATATGCTCGGCATATACCTCCAAAGGTCTTGGATTTGCCTAATCACAACCGCAACTTTACTCCTACCTGTCTACATTTTCGCCGGCCCTATCCTAAAAGCTCTCGGACAAGACGAGTCCATCGCTGACGTGGCGGGTCGAATCGGGTTGTGGTTCATACCTGTTATCTACGCGTTTATCGTGTCCTTCAGCTGCCAGATGTATCTGCAGGCACAGAGCAAGAACATGATCATCAGTTATTTGGCGGCACTTTCGCTTTCGATACACGTTTTCTTGTCTTGGCTTTTGACAGTCCAATACAAGTTCGGTATAACGGGAGCCATGGTCTCGACTTTTTTGGCGTATTGGATTCCGAACGTGGGACAGTTGGCGTTTATCTTCTGCGGAGGGTGCCGCGAGACGTGGAAAGGCTTTTCGACTCTCGCGTTTAGGGATCTTTGGCCGGTTGTTAAGCTTTCTTTGTCGTCCGGGGCCATGATTTGGTGAGGTTGAAGATCTTTGTTGATTAAGGTTATGTTTGGTAAAACTAGCTGATAGCTTATAAGTGATTTTCGAGCTTATAACTTATAGTTTATGTTTTATAGTGAAACACTAGCTTATATGATAAAAGTAATTGGTAAAATTAGCTGATAAGCTAAGATGAAATAAAAATTTCAATGAGCTTATTTAAAAAGCTACCCAAAAAGCTTATTAAATAAGCTTGAGCTTTAAAAAAAAAAAAAACGTCATGCCAAACGAAGCTTATTTCAATACAGGAAGCTTATAAGCTAACCAAATAAGTTAGCCAGATTATTTAGTTACGAAATATAGCCTAAAAGATGTGAGATTTATTTCATAAGTCTGTTGATTAATCTTTTTTTTTTTAATTGTTGAATAGTCTCGAGCTCTGGTACAATGCAATACTGATTCTTTTGACCGGGAATCTGAAGAATGCGAGGGTCGAAATCGATGCCCTTTCGATCTGGTATTTATTTAACTCGCATTCCAAATTATCTATGATTTAAGTTTTTCTTCATGATTTGTTTCAATGGACATGGATTTAATATAACTATTCTTGCAGCCTTAACATCAATGGTTGGGAAATGATGATATCTCTTGGATTCATGGCTGCAGCAAGGTTGATTTTATTTTATTTTATTTCATTTCACTTTTTCTTTTGCTTTGGATGAAAAAAAACATTCAGGAATTTGATTACAATTAATTAATGCGTATGCGTCGTCTGGTCTGCAATTTGTAGTGTTCGGGTAGCGAACGAGCTTGGTAAAGGTGACTCGAAGGCCGCAAAATTCTCCATAGTGAACATTGTTCTAACTTCCTTGGCCTTAGGATTTGTGCTGTTTGTATTTTTCCTCTTCTTTCGCGAACGTTTAGCTTACATATTCACGAACGATGATGACGTGGCGGCTGAAGTCGCCCACCTGTCACCCCTGTTGGCATTCTCCATGCTCATGAACAGCGTTCAGCCTGTTCTTTCCGGTAAGTAACTCCACCATATCTCGTTAAAATTTCAAAACCAATTTTTTATTTTTAATTTTTACTTTTCCCGCGCTTTCACTCGACATGTTTACGAAAACAAGGTGTTGCTATTGGTGCTGGATGGCAAAGTGTCGTTGTGTACGTAAATTTGGGATGCTATTATTTGATCGGGATTCCTTTCGGAGTTTTTCTTGGCTATGTCATCAAGTTACAAGTCGAGGCGAGTTTTCTTTTTTTTTTTTTNNNTGTTTTTTTCTCGCCGTTTTGCATTAATGCAACATTCTCTATTTTATCGACATTAAGTGGGAAAAATACATCGTTCAATGTTTAAAAATGTGTGTGCATTAATGCAGGGTGTTTGGATTGGTATGTTAATCGGCACGTTCATTCAAACCATCGCTTTAGTGATAATAACCAAAAGAACCGATTGGGATAAGCAGGTACATACAAAACCGAACACGCCGTAAAATTTTACTTGTCGACATTTATTACAAATTCTTACGAATAATGTGTTTGTTTTGTATTAGGTTTCGAATGCTCGACAAAGAGTTAACCGATGGTTTGTGGAAGATGAAATTAGTGATAGCTCGGGAGTCGCCTGATGGCTCGCACTTTTGTCGTTGAAAGTTTTTCGGGTCGATTTTTAGAAGTTCTTGTTCATGTTCTTGATGAAAGATTGAAATGCCTAGAAAAGTTTTTCATTATGATCAATTTTATGCATTGTGAGGGACTTTAAATTGTTTTGTTCCTCTGAATTTTTCTCTGATGATGCAAAATATATAAGAATTTTTCTCTGGTATTGAGGTAAGACTAGTACGTCACCCGTGCGATGCACGAGCTGTATAATATTCAAGAATAATATAATTTGACTTGCATTAGGATCAAAATCGAAATCATTAAAATACATAGGAACATTATTGAATCATAAAATGTTCGTGACTTCACAATTATATATTATTAAAAACCTCCTTGTACACAACATTATGAGTTTAATTATTTGCTAACTCCTCACTATCACAAACTAATATTTTCAACCCCCTTCTATTAGTTACACGTGAAAGAGCAACGTATAACTGGCCGTGACTAAAAACAAGTTTCTTCAGGAAAAGACCAACGTGCGATAAAGATTGTTCCTGACTCTTGTTTATTGTCATGGCATACGAAACCATAAGTGGGAACTGTCGCCGTTGGAACTTAAGTGGAATCCTAGTATCGGATGGAATGATATTCATCCTAGGAATCAAGACCTTCTCGCCAGCGTGATCTCCTGTCAATATCTTGCATTCGAGAACATGAGTAGAGAGTTTAGTCACAACCAATCGAGTACGATTGCACAGTCCCATAGAATGAAACCAACAATACAATTGTATTAATTGAATCAAAACTTTTATTTATATAGAGTACATTTATATAAACAAAACACTTACTCCAAATGTTAGAATACATATGTTTCACCGAAGCAGATGAATATACTCTCAAAGGTATGCGACTACAAAACAAAGTCAGAGGCAGACAAAGGTAAATATAAAAACTATAAAATAACATATTAGCAATCTCAAAAAAGGCAAATATTCATTGGAGATGAACAGTAGTATTTCATATCATTGCAACATGATGATAATCACGTATCCTTTGCCGTTTGCAGAATTTAGCAGATTCCATAGCCGAGTACTTAGAACCCAATTTTTGCTTTTACGATTTCAGTATATCCCCATAAGATCATTCTGAATCTGCAGGTGCTCAACGTATAATGACAAAGCCTCCTATCGAGTTCATAATTTCGAATACAATAGATACCACCTTCCTCAACTTCTTTGCGTATCTTGGGTATTAAGACATTGCGTACCAACCCGATGATTTTGGCTCCCTACAAATATGATAAATTAATAATTAAACATTACACGCATGTACAAAATGATGTAGATAAAAAAATATAATATATAAAAAGAATTCAACTGAAACATACCTCTCTATCTTCAAAAAGGATCTGCAAGGTGTTGTTTTGAGGTTTAGGATACTCGCGCTCAATCATATGAACCACACGAAGTTTTAACGGACATATCTTGTTTCTTTGAATATTAGAGACGACACTGAAGGGGATTCCATGGTTGACTGAAGCTGATTTTGAGATTTGGTAATGTGTATTTGTGGAAGCGTGTCCATTGTTGATTGATATTGATTTTGAATTTTCGTAATATGTATTTGTAAATGCGTGTATTGGGTATTATTCTGTTTAGTATGTAGAATATATATAGGGTGTGTATTAAAAAATGTGATGGCTTTATCTTTGATTTAATAAATCCCTTAATATAAGGGAAGTTGTTTCTTTAAAATATCAGAATAAATAACAAACTGATTTGATATACAATGATTTCTTTTATGTCCGTGATTAAAGGGAGGTTTAAGTACAATTAAAACTAAATTCGATTTTTTGGTAAGATAATATTAAAAGCAAACTAACTGAGATGATAGTATTCATGGTTGAAATTCTGTCCGTGATTAAAGGGACGTTTAAGTAAAAAAACAAAAAAAAAAAAAATCATTGCCATTTATAGTAAATAATAAATGTGTCTGAAGTTGACCTGTTTTTTGACTTGCTATTTTAAAAAAATGTTAATTCTGTTTATATATATATATAGATTTTAAAAATTTTAAGCGTGATTTTAGTTTATATTTCATATAAATACAAACATATATAGGTTGAATTTCCCGTCAATCTTGGAGATTGAATATTTTAAATGATATTCTAGAACATCTTTTTATGTTACAAATGATTATATATTATCCATTCTACGGAAAAAAAAAAAACCAACAACATATAGGTTGTTTTTATTGCTAGATATGCGTTTAAAGGTCAATTAGCTATTTTAAATAATTCCTTAATACCCGGCTTAATTTTCAGCTAACAATATAATAAAATGGAATCAATCACTTAAATAATTTGAAATTCAAACTTAAATTACATGGTGGGATTATTTGAATTTTCAAAAAAAAAAAAAAAAAAAA